AGAGCGGCTAGATCTGATAGTACTTAGAATGTAAAACTAGCAGAATATGCAGACTCTCAGGAGCGGGTATGGAGACTGGGGAGACGGGGGAGTCTAGGATAACACTCAAATCCATGGCTTAGTTTGGGGGCCTATTCCTGAGATATCTGGAGGTAAAGCCAGGTGGAGGAGGAGACTGGAGTAACTGACCATGATGTTTGGATTTGGACATGCTCAGTTGGAGATTCCTGTGGTCCAGAGGCAGCCAGCTCCGTGAAGCAGAAGCTGAGAATTCAGGCCAAAGTCAAGTTTAGAGTCTAATATTGCAGTGCCCCAGGTAGGAGATACAACCAAGAAAGATCTGAGCTCTCTCCAGGGAGTGTGAGTAGAGAAGAGCCAAGGCCAGTTCAATTGAGAGAGAAAGTAAAAACAGAGAAGAAACCCTAAAGAGAGGGAAGAGAATCAGGAGATGTCTCAAAAATCAGGTATGGGGGAGGGGGGCTGGGTGGTGGCAAAGGCGTGAAAGGTGAAGCTCTGTGCAGCTGAAGACATGGGAAGGTTCCCAGTTCATACCTGAAATCTCCCTAAGTGTGTACGTGCCCATGGCCTGGGGCTGGCTGAAGCTGGGCTTGGACTGTGGTATCAGTATGCATGGGGAGTGCTGCCCATTTCTCTCTGGCTTACGGAAGAAAGAGAGAGGGAGGGAGGGAGAGGGGAAGGAAGGAAGGAAGGCAGGCAAGAAGGAAGGAAGGAAGAAGTTTTTACAATAATCAGGTATCAGGGTCAAACACTGCTGGAAGTCCAGCAATAACTCTCACCAGGGCCCCTTTGTCAGTCACCAGGCAGCTTAGGGTACAAATTTAAATGCCTAAAACGTCAAGTTTCACAGGTGTCTTCACTCACAGCCCTCTCAGACACCTGTCTGGTCCCATTTTTGAGTCACTGGTGTAGGAATGATAACTCTATTGTGAGAAAATGACAGTGTGGGTGCCACAAAAAGTGGCTCTGGGATCCCAGGTAGAGGCTAGTGTAGAAAAAGAGCTGGGGATCAGCAGATGGCATAATGGCTACATCACTGGACTCCCAAGTAGTCAACCTCAGTTCGAGTCTTGGACGTAGTGGCTCAAACTCACGCCGGGTGCGTGTGTGCCCAAGATCACAAGAGGAGAATGGAAGAGAAGGAACTGCAGTGTGGCCATCCCTGCTGGGGGGTGATTTCTCGCTTTCTGTCTCTGTTTTTCTGGCGAGTGCACGTGCCCTATAGCAAAAATCTCTGCCTCCTCCCCCCCAAAAAAAATTTCTCTTAAAAAAAAATTAAGTTGGGACCAGCAGGTGGTGTGGTGGTTAAGGAACTGGACACTCCCATGTGGCTGATCATGGTTCTAGTCCCGGACCTGGTGGCTCGTTTCCTCACTTTCTCTCTCTCTCTGTTCAAATTAAAATAAATGAATGAATAAATAAAATAAAATAAATAATTCTTTAAAAATTTAAGAAAAAGAAAGGACTTTGTGGAACTAAGCACACTGGGAAGTATCTTAAGTAAATAACTGTTCTTCTCCAGCCAAATGGTGCCAGCAGGGAGTGGAGGCCCAAGATGGCCAGATCTGGTTTTTCAGAGAAGGCAAACAGATGGCACAGTGGTTAAGGCACTGGACTCCCACATGGCTGACTGCAGTTCAAGTCCTGGACCTGGCAGCTTGAAACTAAAGCCAGGCGCCAGGTGTATGTGTACCCAAAATCCCAAGAGGAGCCTGGAGGAGAAGGAATTGCAGCGTGGTCATCCACTCTGGGGGAGTGGGGAGTGATGTCTTGCTTTTTGTCTTTCCAGTAAGCACACATGCCCTATAGCAAAAATCTCCAAAAAAAAAAAAAAAAAAAGAGAGAGAGAAGGCAAAAATCAAGTTTAAATGTGAAATCTCCTGTTTTTGGGAAACATCAACAAAGACACATAGGCAGGCAAAACATCTTTGCAAGTTTTATAACTTCTACTGTGGATGTTACCTCTTACATACTTCTTGAATTATTTTCCACATATGTTATCACAACTCAAATTCACCTATCCCTGGACTAAGGAGGCAGTTATACTGTTTTTTTGTTTGTTTGTTTATGTTCATTACAAACTTATTACATTCATGGGGAAAAAAAAAGAAAAAAAGTCCCTGGGCTGGCCGTTAAGAGTTAAATCCTAGACTGGGCAGCTTGAGAATCATACGGGGCGGTGTGCGTGCCCAAACTCCTGACAGGACGGAGAAGTGGAGTAGGGACTGTGGCATGACCACATCCCTTT